CTCGACTAGGTACGATTTTCTACATGTTAGTCAAGAGTGATGGTCTTCAAAAGTTGAAGTTGCCAAGATATTTTACGTGTTGGTCACTACTCCAGGCAGTAGGCTCTTGCGACGGCCCCCTACTACATCCTGGATGCTATTGCGGTGTGATAATTGATTCGTGGCAGCAGACTCAGCGGCGTAGGCCTCGATCTGAGTCTGGTGAATGAGGCGCACCATCTCCGTCTCTGTGATGCTGTGGAGCACCAAGAACGTCGTGTACTTGGCCTGCAGTTGCTGAAACGCTGCTAGTTCATCCAGCACGTCGTACCTGAATGCCTGACTGCGCATTTGTTTCCGAGCGGCAGCCCACGCCTCACGTTCGCGGTCTCGAGCGTCTGAATACATTTTCCGCTTTTCGGACAAAAGTTTACGAAGTACTGACACTTTGAGCTGATGAGGAACCTTTCTCGACGCCGGAGGAGCAGGCATCATATTGGAGCTTGCAGACGGTAATTGAAGTGGCGACGACTGGATTAGAAGAGAAGAGTTACGAGGCGATTGTTTGGGTCCAATTGTTGACTTTGACCATTTGGGTGAGAGATTCTGGCGGGTTGTGTACACGTCGTACATGACGAGTTGAAACTCTTCTTCCATGTTGTTTCTCAGCTGTAAATCCTGTCGAACGTGTGAGTTGTCAATCGATCCTGAAGCTTGAAACCCAACGGAGGGAGAATTTGTACTTATTGGCGAGTGGAGTGCGAATGATCCTGGAGAAACTGCACCAATGGGCGAGTGTACTGAACCGCCATTGCGGAAATGCCGATGCATGTCCTCCAGCTGTTTGTGTTGCTGGTTTAACGGGCTCTCGGCTGTGGATCGCTGCAGCATATCGAGAATCGTCAGGCCTTTTCCAGCTCGCAACCCCGAATCGGCTTCTTCAGTACTGCCTTTCAGTTGACGAGGGTCGTTAGGCATTGAAAAGGTTACGACGCCATGTCTACGCTTGATCTTGCGCTCCAGTTTTGCCCATACCAAGAGCAGTAGCTTGATCCGAGCAGCCGTGATCGCTCGCCAAGCGCGCCACATGGTTTGGAAATCCCGTACACGTTTCCGAAAGCGTAGGATAATACGTCGAAATTTAACGTCTTGGAACTCGAACCACGCTATCACGATCAGTGCAACGCACTCCTTTCGTTCACGGTGATGCTTCCGTTCGAGCCAAGCTCGAATACTCATCTGGAGTTTATTCACGGCCCGGATCACCACCGGCATGCGAAAGAACGCCGAGGACAGAGGACTACTAGATTCAAAGTGAAGCAGTTGTAACGAATTTTGCTGTATGAGTGCCCGTTGTCGCCAATATCGCTGCAGTCGCTTGATCATTATAATCCGTACCAATTCGTTGCGCTTCTGGCGAAACTCGTGAAACCTGGTGAGCCACTTGTTGGAGCTTTCAGTAAGCGCAACAACCAGCAACCACCGGCTCTGCACATGCACACGGCGAGCTCTTTCCACCCGCTGCTCGTGATGTTGCTGCCAGCGAACCACGATACGCTTGACATTCTGTTCCTTTGCTGCGTCCAGCTCTTGCTTGCGCTTGCTTGCTTGGTGCATTTTGTGGTCCGTAACTGAAGGGAGTAAAGGCGTCTGCGGTGGCTTCTGTAGCACTTGTAACGTCGAATTGATGCGATTCCTGGCCACGATGTTGACGCCGTGCTCTGCAATTTGTTGCTGCTTTTTCCACAGTTGTAGCGCTTCCATTTGCTCCAGTAACTGCGGCAAACTGCGTAGCTCGTTCATTCGTGACACCAAATTACGAGAACGCAGAGCCACTGCCGTCTCGTGTCGCATCATACTTCGTCTCGTGGAGAACCTATTTGTCGGGGTATTGGGCTTCATGAATGACGTCTCTGCAGTTGGTCGGGTAGCAGAAGCGTTTGGTGGCTGGAAGAGTGACACGAGCAACTTGTCCACGGCCTTATTGTTGTCTTCTCGACTTTGCAAAAGTCCCCGCTCCGTCTCCGTCAGGGGTCGTAGCAATTCTCCATGGCAATTGTGTTTGTACTCCCATTGCTGATGATTTTGTGGCCGTGCTGCAGCAACACGCTGAGTGTATGTCGAATCCAACGTCGATTGGTAACGCGGCCTCATTGGAGCTCGCACTTCGTCTTGCTTCGTACCTATCACTTTTTGTGACCCCTGGGGTTCGTGAAGGACCTCATGGAGTAACTTATCAACCTTCTGCTGCTTGCGATGCTTGGTTTCGCTCGGTCGATGCCGATAGATAAGCCATTCTGCAGGTGCTCTAAGAGCAGCGCGAACCTCCCCCGACGTTCCTTCACGGCTAGTGGTGCGACCAGAGTCTTGGTTGGAATACTCAGGTTGAAGCAGTTGATTGAGTACAGCCACCGCAGTGCTGGTAGTGTAATTGGTTCCATCTATAAGTTTTTCTCGGTCTGTACTCACATCATTACGGTTCTGGCCTTCCAGGTTGTTGTTACTCTTTCCTTCAGTTAGTAGTATTCGTTTAGGTGATTGAAGAGCCGGTATGATCTCCTGTTTGGTAGGCCCTGGACGGATTTTGTTGAGATTATCATCACTTTCTGGCAATGCCAACGGATCTGGGGATTCTCCACGTGTCGTTAGTTGCGCGTCGATTGCAGCCTGCGCCTCCGCATTGCGGAATTTTAGGTGGAACCCGTCTCGAACAGTGAAGCGTTTCCCCGCTGCGTGGTGGTGGGAACTAGTTCTCCGGCCTGGGGAAGACTTAGCTTCCGGCGGGGTTGGTCTCGCAAGTTCTGTGGGGGCTTGCCACTTGCTGAGAGTCATATTACCGATGCATGAGGGCCAGTTTTATGTTAATTTTTTTTATTATAACTACACCTATTTAAAGATTTGCCGAGCCGCCGCGTAGTTTACGGCTTTCTATATCTAAAATCTACCAAATTCCAAATTTTAGAGATCTGTAAAAATTAGGATATTTATCAGCACTGACCTCGAATTCAATTTCAACCAATCACAATGTCTCATCCAAGATGGCATT